ATTTAAATCGCGCCACAATAATCTGCTATAACACTATTATTCCTATATAGTTGGGTAATTAAATTGTACTATAATGTCAACATTATTGACAGATTACTCAGAAATTGAAAATAAGTTGGGACCTGAAACGAATGCAGACGTCGCTTATGAATCTATAGAGAAAATCGGTTCCACTAACGTGAGTACAACAATTTTAACTTTACATTAGTTTCACACGTGATCGTATAATTATATTCTTGTTGTAACTGTTATTTTGTTGTTAATCAGTGTAAATTTGTTTGAAGTTATATAGCGTGAAATATGATAGCTGTGTGTCCTTTTTCGTAGATTTGCTTTTCATAAACCCACATTGCACTTTACTAAACTACAAGATATTTGTTGCAGAAGGAAGTAACAGAAAAGGAGTATGCTAAACTTTCATTTGACAAGAATGAAGTTGTTTACATGAAATCAGGACAGAAGACAATCGAATTTTCAAGAGATCATATTTGTATCAAGAGTATCATTTCGATTGGGAAGTTATATGAAATCAGTAAAGCAGAAGCATGGAACATTGATGGCGTCTCTGGACATTCTAACGTAGTGATTAAGAAAAGTAGTAGTGAGTATTAATGATTAATTGAATTCTATTGATTCTGCTTCGCTAACAAAATATAAATTACGTAAACCCTGATACCTATTTTCAGACGGCGATTCTCTAGTAGAAAATGAAATTGTGAAAGAAATAGAAATACTGCAATCAATACGTGGACACAGTAATATACTTCGAATACTTGGATGTTGTATAGAAAAAGGTGGGTAAACTGATAAAATGCAACTCTTGAAAAATGTGATGCATCATATGAACTTTACATGCAGTGACTATTATATATATCTTTAGCTCCAAGTTTCATAATACTGGACCATTTAAATGTCGACTTGAAGACATTTCTCCAATCGCAGCACAAATATGAAGCCATGGAAGCCTCACATAAAGACCTGATTTCATTCGTAGTAGATATCGCCAATGGAATGGAGTATCTGTCTAGCTTAAAGGTATTGTATTATTGTATTATATTGTGTGTGTATATATAAACCAGGATAGTATAGTTTTGAATGAAGCATTCGCAATAATATATATTGGTAGAATACAAAATGGATGCTTTACAAATGTCACTACAGTAATCTCAATATTAGCCAACAACTTACGTACGTTAATTAGCTGGTACAGTCCAGAAATGACATTGACCCTGGCATTGAACTCTAAAATCACTTAATGTTAGACTTACAAAAAAAACATACTATAAAAATAATATGTCGTACATCAAGTAGTCACTACAATTTACTTACCGTAGTTCGTCACTGTACTTTGCAACTCACCACACTAGGAGATATAATGAGGTGAGCAACCATAGTCTATGTATACCAAAAAACTCAGACTGTCTACACTTAACACTGTGACGTTGCGATTATTTTATATTTTAGATAATGCATCGATATTTGACTGCTGGGCATGTATTGATTAGTGATGACAAGAAGTGTAAAATTTCTAATTTTGGGTATGCTAGTGACGCAATAGATGACGTACGGTTCTTCGAGAAAACTAAGGTAAAATTAGTAATTGAACGCTGTCTTTAGTAATGTTCTCTGATTGCGCATGTTGCAAATAAAATAATATTTGTGATTTAATATATGAGTAAACTCACAGCGTTTATGTTCTGGGTTGTAATATTCTTTAATTATAATTTTAGGGTAATTTTCCGTATCAATGGATGTCCGTTGAAACGCTGTTAAACAGACGATTTACTCCCAAGAGTGATGTATGGTCATTTGGTATTGTAATATGGGAAATTATAACTCAAGGTAAAACATATTTAATTACATTGCGCTATTAACGGGGACGTGACGAAAAGATAATCGGCAGTGTATATTCATTAATAAGTTTAAAGCCATTAACTATACCAATTATATATTTATTTGTATGGTAAGGGTGCGTTTTCAAATATAAAAAAATAATAAATTAACACAAACAGTACATTAATATAGCAATTGTTTGTGTCATTTCTATTATAAGCTGAAATCATGATGACCGACATTCTTTTTATAGGATCAATGCCTTATAACGATTTAACAGAAGAAAATGTAAAAGTGATGGTAACTAATGGAAAAGTATTATCAAAACCAACTCATTGTCGCGCTGCTACGTAAGTTTCACTGATCGTATTTTGGAGAAAATAATACATCCAACAGGTATAACATATATACTTGCTGTTGCTGATTAATCAACGCACAACTGTATTCTTAGTTTGTGTTTCTATAATGTGGAGGTTTTATTTTAAGATAAACACAATTATATTATATTTAGTATTTATGCATCATTGATACAGACTTCACAAATGTCTCAATAGGTATCAACTGATGAAATCGTGTTGGAATCGTCATCCTCGAGATCGGCCGACATTCACCAAATTGGTCAAATCAATAAGGTCATTGTTCAATGATAGCAAGGTAAGATTAGACTGAAACACATTTAAATTTAATGAATAATTAAACAAGAATTATCCTATAATTGTCTATACAGCATGGACACATAACACATAACACTATTGTGTTATATTCTGTTTATTTAACAGGAACCAGATAACTCGTTTAATGTTAATGAGTCTCCATATGCAAATATATGAAAATGACGCATTTGCATTGAAGACCGGCTAACAAAATGTACGTTATATGTCTGACAAGTGTATATCTGTTATAAATCAATCCATTATAAATATGTATTCCTACTTTTACTTCCGCCTAAATCAAATTTCATCTGATCATTTTATTTATGTATAAAAAGTTTTTTTATTTTAAAAATAGCCAAAATGTCGAAATAGCACATATTTGTATCACAATGGTCGTATATTCCTAATTGATTGACATTATTTACTTTTAAAAAGTTTGAAACAAATATAACGATAGAGAATACTGCTATAGTCAGATATGCATCATTTATGCAATAGTAGTGTTATGATATATTACATTTTATTACCTCGAGCCCATTATATATATAAACTTCATATATCCAGAAATATTCGACCCATAGTTTTTTTTCGCCGCGTTTATCTTGTTTCACTGCTATGTTAATAGTATTTTTAGGAAAAAGCTGTGTAGTGTATTTTTCGTTTGCTATCTTCGGTTGAAGTTTTACATCTATCAATTATGTGCCTATTGAGATGGAAAAAAATATGTTCGAGTAGATATGAGAGTTTCAATCATTTATAGTTCATAAACGAACAAAATACAATACAACTATTAGTGTAATCACTGTGTTCTGGGTTCTATTGTCCTTGAACTCTATAGCTTGTAAACTGTAGCATT